AGAAGTGCCATTAAAGTACATTAACTTTGTAGGAAAAAAAACCAGTTCCTAGGGAATCAAACAGAATGTGTTTAGTCATTTATTCTGAGTCCCCAGAGAAAAATTGAATGAAGGTCCTGCCCCCAAGAGGTACTTATTCTTGGAGGGGGAGACATAATTGGATAGGGACAGCTCAGGGTGATCAGGCCTGGGAAGAAGGGGGCAAGGGCCCCTAAGGAATGTAGAGAACTCTGCCTGAGGGTCTTATCAGAGACAATATTTTAAGTTGGATGAAAAGGATGAATCTTGCTTTTGGGAAGTGCTCAAGCTCTCATAAGGGTCTCTGCAGGGCATTTGTCTATTCATACATATGTCGGGGGCTGAGACCCAGCTACACAATGGAACAGGGGTATACAATGAGGACTACGTGGACAAGGCAATCAGGGTCTGAGTAGAAAGTGGATGGAGATGGGTGGTAAGATGTCAGTTCTACACTGGACAAGGAGTATGGTCAGGAGTGGACCAGGTTCACATAGGGTTGAAGTAAAGGGAGTGTGGATTCCCAAACAGCGGAATGTGAAATGAGCTCCTGAAGTAAAACCTGCGTGGCTGTGCGGGAGGAGTCTTGTTTGGAGAGAGAGGAGCAGGGGTGGTGCTCCAAATTTGGAATCTCATTGGTTATTTCTGCAGAATGTCAGGATGGTACATGAAGGAAGCTTAGAAGAGGGATGCCCTATTGGATCTGGGCAATACTTTTCCTTGCTCTGTAATGGGAAATGGAAAAGGGGTGGCATATGAAACAGTGTTCACAGTCCATTGGCTGTAATCTCCAAGGCTGGTCAGAGGCGAGGAGCCCATTGGTTCCCCACAACTGCAGGTGATGGGTGCTGCACCTGAAGAGGCAGTGACAGAAACATGAGCAATTTTTTTTTTTTTAATAGCTGAGCCATCCTGCCACCTGTTGGCAGCTCACGGCTGCTCAGCTCGGGCTGACTCGAACCGCTGTTGCTCAGAGCTCAAACTCTTGAGCGAG